GAATTTTGACAAACGCATGCATTGGGAAGTTCAAAATGAGAAATCAAATTTTGACAAATGAATCTTTGAAAAAACCCATTTACCTGTGTTATTCCCAACATATTTCTGGTCCTGACATGCTGACCTTGACCGGTTGATCCAAGATATCTCGTTTCAGCATAGGAACGTTTTTTTCAAAGTAGATGGTGCTAGTCATTATAATTTTGTATTAAAACTAACTTCCAAAATATAATTTGTTTTTTTCTACATTTATTAATCAAAATAAAAAAATAATTTCGGACAATACAATAGCCAGGATTATTTTTTTCAAAAACAGGAAATTTTTGTTAGTCATCGACAAAAATTCAACTCGAGGCAAAACACAATGTTGAGAAATTTCAAAATTGGATAGGTTAATATGCATCGTGGACAACCTCGTGGTTGTGGCCGGTGAAGTTTGAAAGATTGCACTCAAAATCAGCAATACCAAAGAAGATTGGAGAATGAAAATGAGACCCGCCTTGAGCGTCAAAGTGATTCCACTTGGTAGTGAGTCTTTAAGACATAGTCTTGTCCAAAATACGGCCTTGCCATTTTACTTGTTTTAATTCTAAAATAGATAATTGACACGAAACAAAGATATAAAAATTGTCTTTATTATTTTTTTATAAACTAACTCTATATGGCAATTTTTGCCACAAATTTGTTAATTACATTATCATAAAAATTGCTTGTTGTTGATTCTGTCAAAGCCTTTTAAAGCACTTTTTTTATTGAAAGATATGCTAGTGATGACAATCTTTCCTCTGATCGAGTGTTCCTTGTGAATGTATGAATTCACTTCGTGGTTGAAAATATGTGCTCAACAGATGCACTTGTAGATGGTAGCATAAAAATTAATGATATTAAATCACATAATTCTTTTAGTACATCTTTGTTAAGATCGTCATTAATTATATGTTTTATGTCTACAAGTAACTTGCCAATATAGTCCGGACACAAATATGAATATTGCAATTCACTATTTAATTTAGATAAATGAAAAAATTCTCCATAAAATTTACGTAAAGAATTAAAACTCACTTTGGAAAATTGTTTTTCATAATATTTAAAATTATTACATCTAAAAGTGATAAAAATTCTAAAGATTTTGTCTGAAAATCTGTTAATATAATTATAATTAAATATAGCTTTGTAAAGAAATATACATAAAAATAACATAAAATATTCTTTACTTTTTAAATCTTGAAACAATCCACTTAGTCAAATACTTCCTACACTAATGGATATAATCATTGGAAGCATTATACAATATATTTGGTGTGTACATCCACCAGTTAAACTGCCAGAGGTTGGTCCTCTGTAAAGTGCATGCACAAATGTGTGTAATCTGGCTGCTTTACACGATATAAATATTTTTGTCCTGGAATCTGTCCCGTATTTGACAATACGATGCTTCCATTGGAAATATGCATACATGAATTTGTATTCGAATATACAAAAGCAATCTTATCATTTTTTTCACATGTAGTATAGAAATTTGTAATAAGATACATAATGCAGTTAAAATAAAATATTAATTTTAAGTAATTCAAAGTACATTAAAATATGAAAATAATCACACAATATGTATTTATATTTTAGAAAATACAAGCAAGGAAAATGGCATTTCCACAGCTTCTATGGACAGCACGCCACTGCAGGTGGGGTGTTGGGTATAAGTTTATGGAAACAAAGGGGTGGTAGCTTAAAAAAGTTTGGGAATTACTGATTTGATCAATCATCTAACATTGCACCAGGTTAGCCATTGTTAGCAGTGAAATCAAGTTAACGAAACACACTGTGTGGAGGTCCAAGAGTGCAATCTAGCTTGAAATATTCAGTTTACAATCACCTGTGAACTGACTCTGACTGTAACTATTGCTCAGATTATCTTGCAGTTATCCATTTGTCAGCAACTGCCATCCACACAATTTTGCAGTCTTCACAGGGTATTGTCCTTCTGCATGGATCATGTGCAAAGTCTGTAAATACTGGAGCGTCTTGCATCCACTGTGTAACCAGTTTCTGTACTGACATTGTAATATAGTCAGTCCATTAGGTTACATAAATAAATAAATATATGTATGATATGATATTACCCATTTTAAACATGCCAATTACCAACCTTTCTCAAAGTCAGACAGTAGTGTATATGGAGTTCTAACTGTATCACATGGCGTAACTGATCACCCAAATCTGGACGAAAAAAAAAGGGTTTTGTTACATAACAGAGTTCAAGACATGCATATTTGTTATGTTGTTTAATTTATAACAAATGGCCCCATAATTTATTTGTTAATTTACCTACTATTATATATATTTCGTCCACTTTTTAATCATTCAATATCTTTAATACAGAGATATTTTTATTCAAGATTCGTACATTTATTGCAAAACTCTGGTTATAACACTTAATTTCCATCAGTATAAAAACAAGTAAAATTATCATAAATACAGATGATGTAAATTTCATTTATAATAGAGATATAAATAATTTTGGTTAGAATATAAACATAAATTTCAAAATAAATAAATTTTATACAGTTTTTCTTGTATACATCTAGTTATTTGATACATGCAGATTATTGGTTATTGATTATTTTAGAAAACAATACATAAAAAAATAATCCAATTGTTTAAAAACTTTTAAAATAATTCAGTCATAAAACACATTGATTAATCTTTAAAATATTCAAATTTATAATACAGTGGTGCCTCAGTATACATCTGCTTTAGAATACGTCAAATTCGGAATATGTCCTGTTTGGATGAAACAAATTTTGTTTGGTATACGACTTAATTCAATTATACGTGCCATCTATGAACAAGTAGCACTATCAGTGTACTAGACCAGACTAGA